GTGTGGCACAAAATTTAGAAAGTGCTTGTGGAAACTGATTTCTTCCCATAGGTGAACTGCCAATCATACTTACAAAACATTTTTCATTAAAAATGTTGTTCCGTCTCTCTGAGGAAAAAGTCACATTATTAGAAAAATAAAGGCAAAGGATTTGATCCCAGAGGTTTTGACTGACTTAAGCTGAAAATATAAATAAATAAATAGGAGATCTAATATTTACACTGAAGGAAGCAGAGCTCCAGAAAAATGTAGCATGAGCAGGTGCCCCCTGAGTCTTTCCAGATCATAGTTCATCTGTGCATTGGATAGTACCTTTTAAGCATATCATAAACATGTTACACAGTGTAATAACAATCATGGTATGCAACAAAAGGTTAAGATTCTCAGTTAACTTGAAACTTGATAGCAAGGGAAGGATGAAAGTGCCAACAAAAAGTAAGAAATGAAGGAGGCTTTGTCATCAGCATCAGAGAAGGCATATGAGGGTAAGGAAGAAGTCTATTGCTTGATAGATGAAAGCAGTCACCAGGGATCAGAAGAGGAATAAATGTTATCAACTAGGCTAATGCAGGGGCAGAGAAGGTTACAGAAACAGAGGGACAATTCTAAACATGGACTTGAAATGCAAGCAGGCTTGCCAGGACTGTCAGAAATAGGGGAAGAGACGACTAAACTACAAGTGATTTGGAGGTAGCAGACTGTATGCAAGACCAGACTGGTATCTCCAACACACTGTATGGAAGACAAAACACCATAGCATGTGTCATTATTAATTATCACAAATAACATGTAAGCCATTCAACATAAAATATTTATCACAGAACTAAGAATAAATGAAGAAGTTCTCCACTTAAGGTTCAAAGTGGTGACTTTCCTTGCCAGGAAGGTGAAATACTTAGGGCCTCTATATTTTAAATACTATTTCATGAATTGTGTGGGAAATTAGACCTCAGTCTCTGTGAGAACTGATAAGATTTCCTATCTCACTTTCAAACATTATGGAGTATTTCCAGAAATGTTTTAAAATTCTGTTTTAAGTGGAAAAAACCTCAAGCGCTTTCATTAGACGTAACTGAACCACCAAAACATTAGTCAGTCTCATCTAGCATTTCAGAACAATGCAATTATCTCAACATCAGTGTTTTTACTAAGAGACCTCTGTTAAAAATGTTGCCTAAACATTAGCATTACTAATATTATGAATTTAATTCTCACAAGAAATACAAGGTTTCCCAATTTGCCTTTCAACTATGCAGCAGTTATCTATCTTGTCATAACATGAATCCCTTTTGGGTGAAAGCTATTGATTCGAAGGTTAAAATCATCTTGCTAGGCTCTAATGCAATTTGTTGGAAGTTGGCCTTGGGAAACTTTCTGACACTGACTACATATGCTCTTCATTGGATATTCATTGAGCAATGATGTCTGAAAGGCTGAGTTCTTCACCTCCGTGATCACTATTAGTTATGGCATTTCTTAACAGGCTGTGATATGTCAGTTCTTTGCAACTCAAGTTTTACATTAGAACCTACAGTTTACAGCACTGAAAAGACACACTCTTCCACCATGGACAATATTGTTCCAGGAGCATATACACAAGAACACATTCATAAACAGAATTAGCAACCTACAAATACTGTTAACATTGAAGAAAGTCCTCTCTGTTTTAATCAAGTTAAATGAGGTGCACACCATACGTTTTAGGCAAGCTAAGGGAGAGCTCCCTGACCTCACTAAGGAACTCATAGATCAAATACAGAAATAATTCAATAGAAAATCTTTGGCAGAGGAACCCACAGTATCTATGGCCACTGATCTGCTGACAAAATGGTAGTAAGGGAAGAGGAGGCAGCTAAGCAGTCTCTGAGATATACAGTACCATTAGTCCAATCTTCTCATGCCTCAAGATGCATTTTCACAGGCTGTCAAACATAAAGTCTTATGAGAATAATTTTCATTATAAGATTTTAATCAGTTGAACAAAATATCCAATTCTGCCAAAACCATAGCAGCAAGCTCAATTTTGCTCAGCAATATTCTCACCAAACTACTATGCTCTGAAGGTCTACAGATGTTTTTACTACATACACCTAGACATTCTTAGCTTTGACAGTGGCTTCCTCAAAACAGTGTATAGCAAACTGCAATCATGTGATGAACGGAGAATGGCCAAAATAAAGAAAATCTTTAAGGAATCTATCTATTCTTAGTTTTATCTTGATGCAAATCTTGATATGTGTGAACAATCCACCAATGATTGTAGAACTCTGGATGACATCTATACATTTCAGCTGAAATTTTACTGTTGTTCTACATTATATGTAGGAGCTTGAAACTTTTCCAGAAGTCCAATTTTGAAATATATTAGGCTTGAAGTGAGCCCCGTCCACAGAAATATCCTGACAAATTAAATATATCTGGGGCAAGATGGAGCACTCTCAAGCGCTTGGGAAGCAGCCAGGATCACTGACTCATGTTATTTTCTAGTACTGTTAAGCTGAATTTTGGTCATGGCCTAACTCAGGAAACATCATCAGATGTTGACAGATGAGAACAGTTCACATTTGTACTATTTAGGACCAAATATGATATCGTAATATATATATGAAACATACTGTAGAGAGGTCAGATATTATCTAGGGGGGGTATTCAGTATAACTTGGGATCAATAGCACCGATTGCACCTTATTCCCTCTGTTTGCTTAGGTTGTTGCCTTCTTGAGAAGCCTGAAGTGGGTGCTCAATAAGTTTGGGATTTGATCTGGGAAGTATGACCACTCGTAAACTGAGTGGCTGAGAGTTCCAGAGAGCAGGGACTAGATGAAGAGGACTGGGTTTAGGAGACAGTTTGGGGCAGGGACATGTTTGAATTAGCTGTTTAAAACTTCTGGCTCTGGCATGAGCTTTTCTTTCCCTCTCAAAATGTTAGAGAAATACAGTAATTTAAAAAAAAAGCACTTCTTATCTTGTGTTTTCACTGGGTCCGCAAAGTTCACGCCTCTTAATGACACCTTCTTTGCTAACAACAGTTTATGAAATAAAAACATTATCAAGAAAAGACACTGGAATAACGACAAGACAAAACCTGTGGATAAGATTTCACATGATTAAGCTGAGATCCAATCTGCAGTGAAATGAACTCATGGAAGATTACTGTTTATTTTCATATAAAATGAATTGGATGCAAATTCATTACTGTTTATAAACTCAATCTCAGTGACAGTTTGTCCCTGGGGCATCGAAAAGTATTTTAAATCATTCTAATAGTTAATTATTCAGCAAATGAGAGCACTTTAAAGACTTTATCATATAAAATGACTTTAATAATTTATGCTTATGGGGCATTACAGAGCTAACTGTAGGACTGCTCTGAAGGAGGGGAAAGTTGCATGCCTGCGTGTTTACAACTGAATTGTAGTAACGCATATATTACATGTGATATGCAATTTGTGAGCAATCTGATATACATTTGTGAGCACCTCAGGTTTCTTCCCTATCCCTCTCTTTGCATGTATGTCTATAACACTACATAAGGCTCTCAGTAAACTTAAAAACTTCAGGAATTTAGTAATAGGGTAAGTTTGCAGGAAATTAAATGAAGGCACAGACTGAAGCTTAAATTTTCTGGATTAAGTGTAAGACTCTTAGGTATCTTAGGTGTATTAGGTGCAGAGGACAACTCCTAAGAAGTAAGAGAAGAGAAAGCAAGGGAAATGTAACTGTACACTATAAAGAGTGCCCAGTAACTGATGACCTAAACAAATGTTGGTTTTGGCAATTCTAGTGATGAAAGGGCTTGCCCAACAGCCCAGATGTGGTGTGAAAAATGCTTAAAGTGACTTAAGCTTGAAAATGAAAGACTCTTTCTGAAGAAAAGAGTTCAGGACAGGCACTGTTTGATTTCTACTATGCTGGAGACAGAAGGAGATGATACTGTATTGCATAGAGTCAAAAGCCATGGATTTTTCAATGTAGAGAAATATGTACATAAATGCACATACCATTTCTGTATATTTCAATGGCATTTGATTGTATACTCTGGGTAAACGCCAAGATGTGCAGTTCTAGAAGAATCCTATGCTACTCAAGATCTGAAAGATTTTTTGACTCCTGAGTTTTAATCATATTCTACTTCTTGGCATGGGACAAGGACAAAAGCTCAGTGATTTCCTCATAATATTCAAAGATGCAGTAGAATAAGCAAACCAGCACTCCATATTTTATACAAATATTTTGTGTTGTTTTCTTTTAATTTTTGTCTACTTTCTCTGCTGGAGATTAGCTAACGAGACTTAGACCCTTTCTGCTTGGTTTGTACTATGGGCATGAAATCAAAACGGTCTACATATTTGCATACATCTCTTCATGACAATTCGGAGGAAACACAAGGAGAATGTGCATGAGTTATGAGTTCCCCTGCATGAAAAGTTGTCTGTGTTGGAGCTATTAGTCTGACCCTGCAATTTTTGCATCAGTATTCCTTATCGAATGGCAAGAATCCCACTGCATGCAAAGCTGTTACTTTAAAGCCATGATCTGAGCCTGTACTCACATCAGTAAATGCCTCGTCCGAATGCTGCCAAAACATCCATGGTATGATTCCAGTTATTGGCACAGTGTGCACAAGCAAATATTTAAAGTTGAGTAAGATCGCCATACCTGGACTTTAACACTACTAGGAACAAAACTTTTCAGATTCAGTCACTTACCTCTTGCACTCCATTCAGTTTGTACAGCCTGAACTTTACTATATAGCCACAGCATAAATCTTTTTTGCTTTGTAGTCATTGCATTGACACAATCCTCACACAAATACTGAAAGGCAAAGCTAGGTTACTTTTTGTAAGCCTTCCTCTTTAGTTATTAATAAAAATACTGTCTCACTTTCAAAGAAAACAATACATTTGAAACGATAACCCTGCTACAAATATAACATGGTGTTGTACAGGAGAAGTATTGATTAAAACAAAAAGGGTTTTTTAAACACCATTCATTCTTACCAGTTCTAGTAGTTATTGATTCTGCATCAATTTCATTAGCCTTTTTCTTTGCTACTTCAGCTAGTGCCAATTCACCCTTATCTAGTGCAAGGTAATGGATGTCCTTTGGAAATAAAAGAGAAAAAAAAAATAAGAGATTAATCTAAAATGAATCTCATAGGAGTAACAAAAGGGATTTTGAAAGAAACAGGTTCTTTTATTATTTAGATCACAAACACAGATGGAACTGATGAACCTACCATTACATTTTAATTCCCTCCCAATGCAAATTTATTATCTTACTTGTGCTGTTGAATGCAGCAATGAATAAAACACTGACCAATCATGCACTGATAAAAGTGAAGCTATTGACTCAGTGTATGAAAGAAACCAATCTGCCTGCTTTTAAGGTAACTTCTGTTGGGGCAACATGAATTAAGAGAGGATTGATAGGAGGCAGTTCTGTGTAAACCAGATCTGAAGTACTCGAACTCTTCTGGCTGACAGCCCCTCTCTGAAGTGCGTTAAGGTTTCCACTTAGTACACAAATTCTGGGGTAATGCTCTTTTGGGGCAACAGTTGCTCAATGGTTTTAACACCCACACAGGTGACACGATCCCCAAGTCAGTCCTGGACCACAAGAAGCTTTCCAAAAATGTTGTTGTCTAGCAATGAATAGTTGCCAATACTCAGGATCTAGTCCTTCATGTAGGGTTAAAAATCACAGGGCTGCATCAGGGGTGTATCATGACATACTGAATTGCAAGCCTTTTTATTGTGTGTTAAAGTTTGAGGTGAAAACCACCTGTACTATGCACAGCACTGCTTGTGGGAGAATATGTTTCTCTGACAAATTACAGCCTCAGTGCCCTTGGTTTTGGCTCTTGAAGTAAAGTTTCATCCTTGACCGTTAGTAAAGAGGCAATTAATCCCCTTCTCCTTTGGTGTCATAGCCACAGGCTGCTCTGTGCATGAACTGTGACACATAAAATGAGGGAAACCCAAAAACAGCTGGCAAAATTTATTTTCCCCATTTCTTTGCTGAAGATGTCATCTGGTATCCAAAGATTTAAACCATTCCTGGCCATTGCTCTGCAATCTATCTGCATGCAGGAATTTAAAGGGAAAAAGAGTATTTGATGGAAATATTGACTTCTGCCTACCATAAAAGCAACTATATTCTCACTAATGCAGAATATCTCAGGTGAAACTGTCCTTCTCAGTATGAGTTTACTGTCACCCTCATCATTATGACAGAAAGTCCTACAGGAAAAGGTGACCTTATGCTAGAAAGAGAAGTTAGATGAAAAATGTAACAGTAATAGTGTTAGGAGAAAAAGATACTGCTTTTATTATCCCCTTATTTAATAATAATTATAATAGTAATAAAGAAACAAGCTGAGAATATTATGAAAACCGAGACTAATTATGGAGGAAAACATGGTACTGCCTTTCAGGATCCCAACACGAGACAGGGATGTTTTCTAATAACAGACACAGGTGTGACTTAAAATATGTGCAAGTGTCTTGGAGCAAAGTAATGAGTTGCGAACTTGTTGCGAACTCTGTACTTCCTCTCTTTGTAGGTCTAACATGGCTGTCAGGAGAAAAGGGCCTGAGTAGCAAGGTATGATTTCTATGAAGATTAAACAGTAGATATTGTCAGTTTATTTATATAACAATAGAAAACCTAAGGGCTCTTGAACAAGTCTGAACTTAGAGAGATTTGAATGTATAGGCAGATTGTGTTCACTAAGTTAAAATACATTCCGACTATGCTTAATGACTGTCATTTTTATAGTTTAAACTAAGAGAAGTATTGTATACTTCCATGCACTTTTAAATACCAAACTTGGGGAGGGGATGGAAATAACTGCAGAAAACGACAAAGTTCTTTCAGTTCAGAGGTGGTACATGCTGTTTGCATCAAAATATCTGTTATTATCAGATCTCCTTTTTGCCTATGTTTTCTGTTTTGAGTGAATAAATGTAAAGATGCTGCATATCCATTGCTAACAGGGGCCTTGTAAGAAATTAGGACATACAGCAGTAGGCTATAAGTGCCTTTCTTTGTGGTCTGTTAAGTTGCTGTTATAAAGAATAATTAAAAAGAACCCCCTCATCTCTATCTCTAAACAAGCTAACAAGCTCTAGAGAGAAAAGATTACAGATATAAAACCTCCCAATTAGAAGATTTCAGATCAAATTTAGGTGTTCCTTATTTAAACAAGCGAGAAATTTTTTTTTTCTTTCAAAGAATTGATAACTCTCTGAGTAAAACAAAACTAGAAAATAACTTAAAAAGAAAGCAGCAGCACAGGATAACAGGGTGCCTTAAAGAACAACAGAAAAAAATTAAATTAGTTAAATATTCATTACAGATTTTTCCACATAATTATCTAAGAATTTATCATGCCAAAGATCCCATCCCTCTCAAAAACAATGGTGACAATAACAACAATTTCCAGCTGCTTGTCAGCAGTTTGCTGAAAAGGCTGTGTTTTATCATTTAACAGTTTGATTACTTTTTAGACTACTTCCTTTTTGCTCTCATCTTTGTGACTCACAGAGCTGGCCCTTGGTGAGCAAAAGTAATTTGACACACTGATGTGCATTTGTCTATAGGATATTTCTGGGCAAAATTCCAACGTTTCTTCGAAACATGCACTTTCCTCATCAGTGTATCACCCAAGATCTGACAGTTTTATTAAAGTGTCTTTTCCTTGCATTTTTTGCTACCTTTGGTACGTGGGATGGCCTTTTGAATTTTCAGCAGCTGAGAGCTGGAGCGTACTACAAAAGGATTTCAAGCTAACAACCCTTCTAATGCTTGATCTTTTCTGTCACAGATTGGATCAGTCACTGTCCAATAAATGTAGCTGTTGTTCATGACATTTTGTGCTTTTCAGTTTTATTTTTTTATTGAACTTTGTAGGAGATGATAATAATTGATGGACTTAGATGTGACGTGAGGGTAAAGCTTATGGAGAGTCACAGCAGTGTATGTGTGTTTTGTTATGGCATCACACTAGTGACGCTATAACTATCGGACTAACTTTAAAGCCTTTTTGGTTTTTTTTCTTTTTAATTTCTCTGACAGAAATTAGCCCTCAGATAGCATTCTTTCAAACTTCTTTGCAATCTCAAAAACAAATAACAGGAATGCTGCAGAGCCCTCTTTGGTGAAAGAGATACTTGATAGAAATTCTCCAAGACATATGATGCTTCCTTAGAAGTCTCAGAATATGGGTATTCAATGTTTGAAAACTCTTGAGCCTCTGTTCTATCTGCTCCTTTCTATCCTTTCCTTTTTTCTTCCTTCTCTGGAAGGAAGATAAGCTAAGAAATAAACTTTTTTTTTCTCACTTTGCTTATGTCAGCAGATACCTTTCTTTAGTCTATTTCTTCTTGAAATTCCATTAAATTCACTGGGAATAAGGTGATGTGACTCCTAGAGCCATCTGAAGTTTTCTAAATGGATTTGGATGGTTTGTAAAACAACAGTATAGGTATTTGTACTGCACGTAATTGTAAATGTTTTAAATATAGGTGAAGTCAAGTTCTATGTTATTAATTGCATTTTGAAGCACATAAACAACGTGTAGAAATTATTAAGTGTTAAGCAGAAGTGAAGTATGCACAAACCTTGCTTAGGAATAGTATCATTATACTAATACCTAGAAGGACTGTAAGCTTTCAGGGAACAAGTTATCTAATTTTCACAAGGTATTTAGTGCAATGAAGCCCAATTCCCTAGAAATTACTGTGCCAGAAACAAATACTTTTATGACCTATGCACCTTCAAACTTTCTGAGTCTCGTACTTAGTAGTCTCACAGTAGTGCATTGTTAGCTTATTGTAAAGTTTGTTCATTAGTACCTTCTTTAGCAGATGAATTAGCAAAAAGGATCCCCAGAGGATGCAGCCAGTTAACAGAGGATTCAAAGAGGCAGATGTGTGTGCTGCTTGTTGCATAATTCAGGGAAAACTATGAGGAATCTCAAAGCAGGATGAGGACAGTATGGAACTGGTTTTGATCTCACAGTAATGTAAGCAAGGAGGAACTACATGGAAATATATATTTATGTTTAAGAGCCTTGATGAGATGGGAAATGGAGAGTAGGTGTTGAGAGAGGCAAGGGAAAATAAAGAAGAGTAGGAAAGGATGGAGCTAATTTCTCCGTGAATATTGAAACTCCTCTTGAAGAAAACTGGAGAACTTTTTTGTTGAGAGGAGGACATGTTACCACTTGTGGAGCCAGGTAGTGAAAGTCCCTCCCTCTTGTTAGCAGCTTTGCACCCATCTCTTGAGCCAGCATTGGTGTTCCCCACCCTGGGACAGAGGTGATCTGTCAGTTATGGGGTCAGCAGAAGGAAGGAAAGAGAAAAAGACCATGTAGGAAATGCTCTCAGCCATGTGACAAAGGGCCCTTGAGATGACAGACCAAATGTTGGGTCATTTGTTCTGCCAGAATGGCTGGAGTTACTCATGGAGAATTTATTATCTCTGTGGTGGGAGAGCCCCCAACAAGAAGCTGTAACCTGCTGCAGACATGTTGCAGTCTGGATCTTACATGTGGTTGCAGCAGTACTTAGTTTGATTAGGTATAAAATTTGTATTGAAGAAGTTACATTGAGTAAAAAGAGAAAAGGAAAAAGGTGAGTTAAAAAGAGGAAAAATCAAGGCAAGTAAACATAAAACATGCAATGAATTTCCTAAAAGTCTGACCTTTCCTTCACATTCTTTTGATGCACACTTAGAAAAGTTTATCGCAGTATTCACATCTTTCTAATTAGATGGAACAAGCCAGATGATTAGAGCTGTGAAAAAAACATCAAAAGGTTCACACAACTTTTTATATAATTAGAAGGGAATTTCATAACCCATAAAAGCAGGATTTAATTGTGTAATTTAACATACAATTTAAATATCAAGATCAAACTAGCAGGGCAAGTGACTTAATGGGATAAATGATATTAACATCTAGTGTCAAAGCTTAATTTAAACAACAGAATGTCTTCATTATGCAAAAGAGTCAAGCAAACGAATCATTCAAAGGGCTTTTTTTTTTTTTTTAGCAAGCCCTTTTCCTATTGTTTCTTTGAAAACAATGAAATCAGCTGTGGAGCAGCAACATGCTGAGAGACTAGGAAAGCACGATTGGCTTTGTCCATCTGACCTCACTGTGACATTGTGGTGCAAGATCTTATAAAACAAGAGCCTCCTGCAGAGCTCACACAGAGGACCTTTTAAGAGCTGGTTAATTTTACTTTTGTAGCTAATTAAATGGGAGGGTGCAGAGGGTGCATGAAATGTAAAAACCCTTGTGTTGATGCTGCTGAGCTTTGTTGTTTTAAAAGTACCTGTAGAAGCGTTCATAATTTGTCACTTTTCACAAAACCCTAAGAGACAAACTAAGAGCATTCAGGATCCCCAGGATATAGCCAGCTCTTGTGTCCAGGACTCAGCAGTTGTACTTCTTAAAGGAACGGATTAGAAACGTATAAGCTTATTAGAGTGAAAGATGACATTCACACACATCAGGACAGATGAAGAAGGGGAAAGTTCAAAAACATATACATTAATTCTTGGAAAATAAAGAATAGCCTTTAGGCCATGCTAGGGAAAATGTCAATGACTCCAAAGATACTTCGTTCCTATTGATAAGTTTCATGATAGCAAAGGGCAAACCAGGTAGAATAGTTCTCTCTTCAGTATGTGTCTAAGACTGCAAATGACACTGATCTATTTTAACGTGTGCAAAAGCTGACAAGTAACACCCTGACAACAGCCTCTGTCTCCAGAAATTACTTACCATAAACAGGTCCCGAGCACCTATGTCAACAGCCAGCAGAAAAGCTTTTTCAAATCTCTGATACCTGCAAGAAAAAGGAGGAATGTTACTTGCTGAGGGTAATTTGGGAGCTGCACCAAATTTTGTCAGTGGGCAGATGAAGTGCTTCAACTTTCATCAAAAGTGATGCCAGAGCTTTACTGGGGAAACTTGGTACGATCATACTCAAGATTGCAGAACTTCTTCATCATTTAAAACCTTCAGCAATTATTATGTTCAGTGTTGAGACCCATTAGATCTAGCTGAATCAGAAGGGAGCTGAAGGTGCTATATATCATAACAAATCAATCCTTTGAAAGATACCAGCCACAACACAGATACTAGCCAATGCTAGCTCAACTGCATTGAGTTTTCTCCTCACAGACCCCTCAATACAGTTCTCTGAGGATGATAATACAGCTGTCATCCTAAACCGTCATGAATCCCCAGGGACTAAAAACGGTAGGGGTGACACTGCTTTGCCTCCTAAGTCCCTTAGCCCAGTACTAGCAGACTCCTGAGAGTTTTCTGAAGATCCTATGGTGAACAAGATTGTGTCAATGAGGTAAAACATGGAGAAAAAGAGCAAAATTCACAAGCAAAAGTGACCTCTAAATGTGCTCTAGAAGGTACCACCTGAGTATTGCCTTCATATGCAGTAGAGTACAAAGGGAGCAGTATGGATGTCGAACTTACAGAATCATAGAATCACAGAATAGTTAGGGTTGGAAAAGACCTTAAGATAATCTAGTTTCAACCCCCCTGCCATGGACAGGAACACCTCACACTAAACCATATCACCCAAGGCTCTGCCCAACCTGCCCTTGAACACTGCCAGGGATGGAGCATTCACAACTTCCTTGGGCAACCCATTCCAGCGCCTCACCACCCTTACAGTAAAGAACTTCCTCCTTATATCCAAATCTAAACTTCCTCTATTTAAGTTTTAACCCATTACCCCTTTCCTATCACTACAGTCCCTAATGAACTTCACCTTTACTTTTAACTCAGCTGTATTGTCTACCGTCATCACCTGCGACTCCTGGAACGCTTTCATCAGCGCTGCCTCCGTACAATTCTAAACATCCATTGGACTGACTATGTGTCTAATGTCACTGTCCTTGAACAGGCAGGGGTCACCAGCATCGAGGCCACATTGCTGAAACTGCAGCTGCGCTGGGCAGGGCACGTCTCTAGAATGAAGGATCACCGCCTCCCCAAGATCGTGTTTTATGGTGAACTTGCCACTGGTAGCTGCAAGAGAGGTGCCCCAAAGAAGAGATACAAGGACTCCCTGAAACAATACCTTAGCCTTGGCCATATTGACTACCATCAGTGGTCCACCTTGGCCTCCAATCGGGAGACTTGGAGGCACACCATACATAATGCCACTGACTCCTTTGAGAGTTCACGAAGAACTAGTCTCGAGGAGAAAAGACAACGCAGGAAGAATCGTGTCCCACCTGTTCCACCCAAGGAGACCTTCTGCTGTGCTTTTTGTAGCCGGATTTGCCTATCCCACATTGGCCTTCTTAGTCATCTGCGCGCTTGTAGTAAGCGTGGGTAAATGCCCTTCCCAAATCTTCGTTCGCGAAGTCAAGCCATGATGATGATTGTGGCATAGAGACCAGTAGTTTGGTGGGTTGAGGGCTTGCTAAACAACAGCTCCTTCCATTTGTAATGACACAGACAGCAACCTTCTTTCTACCTAGACCACGCACCATCCCCTGGCAATTACAGCAAACACCTCCATGGGATGGAGATACTGTGGAAGGCTGTACATATCCTCTTGTTTGCAATCCTTGGGGATTCTATAGAAGCAGGAGGAAGCAAGTCATCCTTCAGAAGCTTTCTGAGATTATATACAACATTGCACTAGCAAACAGTAACCACAACAAGAAATTCTGCAGAATTTCTTGTTCAGAAGAAATAGGGCTAATGCCTCTCTTGTACTACATGTAGATAACCATGATATGAGTGAGAAAGTGGTTCTATTTGTACACATTTTCTTCTACTGCATGTTTAAACTGTTTAAAAACACCTACAAGAATAGGTTTGGTGACAATTTTTAGATATGTAAAACAACAAAGTACTCCAATATTATTTCAGTTGTGAAGTAAAATATTTATTGCATATAGAATGACTTCTGTATTTTCCCTATTACTGGTGAAGTTTTCTCCTTTTCACCTTTTAACAATTTCAACAATAGATCAGTTGTAGATGATTGAGGTTTGGGAAGGAGATGACTTCCTTGATCCATTAGGGAAAAAGCAGCATTGTGATTTCTAAGTGTTAGAAGGGTGTAGTTTATGTTTGCCCAATGAATACTGTCAAACAGCATCATATGGATGCCAGTATTTACACAGTGCTGTACCTTGAGGGTATCTTAGGAAACAATGGGCAATGCAGTAGCTCCTCCTTAGGCCAGTGTGAACAAGAAGAAAACATGGGAATCCTCCTTCCTGTTGGTGGGTGAAGGAGTCCATGCAATGTACCATACCGGGATTCCAGTTTCTAGCCAAAGCCTAAGCATTTTTCTTCCTTCCTCTTGCTACAGCCTTATCGCTGTCTCCTCTTCTACCTCACACTTGGAATGATTTAGCAGATTCTGAGATAGAGCTGGTGAGTACCTTTCCTCAAGAAATAACATTTGTGACAAGAAGGCAAAATATGTTAGCTTAGGTAGAAAAGGAAATGCACTTTCCAAGTGAGGTTCCTAAGAGCTGGAGTGGGGAGTCCTTTCTTCCCTAAAGCTAATCTTCCTGCTGTGTCTTCCAAGACTAATTTGCAGCCCTCCTCACAGAACCTGTTTAAGGGAGGGGAAGAGATGAATTAAGGTTAACCTCTTGATAACTGGGGAAGAGGCAGTGCAGGACCATTTTATCATGCGCATCTACATATCTGAAGATTTTAAACATGTTTTCTATTAAGGATTTTCCATTAAAATACATTGTGTTGTAATGCTGCTTCTGAAGTTATGCTTTAATTAAGACAAATAAGTACATGTTAAAATATGTGTATCTCAAATAGTTATCCTGTGTATCTTTTTCTGGCATATTTTTCTTTTCAATTACAGATTAAATATACATTCTTAGTCCTCAGAGGGGAAACTGGAAACCAAACAGAAACCGGCTATACAACTAGCTAAAAAGAATGTCTGCATCATTATTTTGTTTTTCCAGAGTTAATAACTATACAGACTATTTGAATGACATTTGCTTTAGCCAAGGTAAAAATGCCTGAAACCAAAAAATGTAAAGTAACTTTTCCCTTTGATTGACCTGCAGAATGGAATCATGGCCTCAGAGCTGTCATTTCTCTGCCATTTCACAAAGATTTTGATTTTTTCCCTTTGTCAATATACATACTTCAGTCTCATTATGGCCCCTATTCATAAAACTGTGAAGTTAGCTCATTATTTTCAGATATGTACTGAGGGAAAAAAAAAAAGTGGGGAAAAAAGACTATCCAAGAAATGCTCTTCGCAGACCAAGAGCACTGGAAATAACAATCACAGATACTTCATAAATTATTATAAATGGAATTGCTTTAAAATAAGGTGGAGGTTTCAAACGAGAGTGACAAGTTTACATTGCTTAGGCAAACAGTATTAAATCAGTCAAGAATGTCCAGTTTTTTTCAAACTAGCTTTATGAGAATGTACTCATTATTTTGAGTCTCTTTGGCAAGGAAGTTGTATTGGGTTTATTCTACAGGAACAATTAGAGAGAGTTCTGTATAGCAGGAGACTGTCCTCAAGCTAATAATGTCTGCTTTATAAGCACGTTTTGTCTTGGGAACACTTCACTTACAGTTTATCAGCTCCTCAAACAAACAACCCCCCTCCCCCTCCCAAGCAAAACACCTTCCCTCTTGTTCTTGTGCTACAATTACAAGGCACAAATATTTACCTTCTAAAATGGTATCTACACGGTACTGGTCTTGAAGTGAGCGTCTTCCCACTCCTCCCTGGACCTTGTCGCCTACTGCTTGCTTCACAATAACTCCAGCAATCAAGACTTATGTCTCTTGAAAAAGAGAGATAAGGAAATCTGCCCGCAAACCATGAAGTTCAGCCACTTGTTTGGTCAAAGTGACAGCCACCAGAAATACGACCTTCAAGATTAAAACTCTCAAACTGCAATTAGCTATACAGGACAGACAGGAAAATATTTCCCTGAAAGCTGTTCAGCACACAAAATAATAAGTTTAAATTCTCATATAACAAAATCCTACTGTTATTATATGCTCTTATGCAACCTTTCTACATATCCTACAAAAATTTAAGAAGATGGCTCTAAGTATGTTTATTGTATGGAAAAGGAAACTTAGGGGAAATGGGACTGATAAGACAAGGGTCACGCTGGTCAAAAATGGTTGAGGCAGAGAAGAATCCAGACCATGGTGGAGTGGCAGACCTGCTGCCTGCTTGTATTTTGAGAATGTGACATTAACTGAAAAGATGTCAGGAAAGCATTTTATTTGTAAATAAAATAGATAGGTAATAATGAAATACAACGTTATCTATTGACTTCAGAGAGGCTATTCTTTTCGCTGGCATAAATAAAAAGAAAATCAAATGAGCAGGGTATTCTCCTGTTGGATGTTCAGAAAAGAAGGTGGTTTTAAATACTGTAGATGAAACCAATGTGCATGGATTGCAGCCTGCAGAGAAGGGAAAGTAAGTCTCCTCAGTCTTTATGAGAGGTTCTACAAATAGATCAAAAGGCAAAATGTATTCCACAACACCTAAATTGAATGTGCTCACTTAGAGATATAAAATTTTTCAGGCCGAAAATGGTCAACTTGAAAATATTGGTAACATTTACCCATAATATTCAAATGTCTCATAAGAAGTCCAGGAACTGGGGATAAAAAACCATGTGGAGGGAGGGGGAAGGAAAGGGAGAGAAAGCTTGTGCAAGCAAGAGAGAAATACAGTGCGGAAAAGATGGAAACATTTCTTTAGGGACTAGTTACAACCAACATGCCTTCTTAGACATGCTCATCGACCATGTAAGCATATTCTTTGTGCTGGGCTGATAA